TGTGTTTGAAAAGTACAAGTTAGCTACATTTAAAAGATCATCAATTTTTACATTCATAATTTGATTTCTGTGTTCTTGTCTAATTTGTTGGTCCATGTCATTGAAAAACAATGCATTACCTTTTGACATTGGTGCAACTGGATGGTCTATTCCTTGGAATATGGCTAATTTTGCTTCATTCAGTTCTTCGACTGTTATTTTTTTTTTATTTACCCAATTACAAGCGCCATCAAAAGCTTCAAATGTCTCAATTGGTTTTGGGTCTCGGTAGGAGAACATTTGAATGCTTCCAGAGGTACTCAGTGAAGCACCAGATCCATAAGCACCATTTTTTTCTCTCACTGTAGGCAATAAATATTTTGAGCTCATATACTTGCAAAGAACTTTAAGTGGAGCAAAATCCTTATGAGCGTAATGAACACCCGGTAGAGCTTTTGCACAATAATTGACTGAAAATGGTAGCACATGATGAAAACACTTTACATTGTTATCCTGTTTATCAATTTTATTATATTCATTTGACTGATTCCAATTTCCAGTAATCGTGTTTAGAAAACTTTCCAGACCTTTAACTGCCGTGGAGTTGTTATCTACAATGGTCAATGAACATTTCATAGTATTTTTGTTCAATATTTGTTCACTAATTTTTTCTAGTTTTTTCAATATTGGTTTAAAATCATCAATTTGGGCAATTTTTTTCATGGTACTAATGTATTGGAGTCCACCGTATGTTTCACGTTGAGCATCAATTGGATTGATACCAGCAGTTGCACATAACATTGCATACATGTGTCCACTACCTGAAATACTGTTGGCTAAACTTCTTGCTTCTTCTTGTATTAGAGTTTTGAATCTGTTTTCATCTTCAAAAGTTACTTGTGTAAATAATTGCTTCCACAGATCAAACATTTCATCAACATTTTTGTCCAAACAATGCGAGTTCAGAATAACACTTTCTTTCATGTTAAATAGATTTCTAGGTGAATCTATAATGGATTGGGACACTTGTAAACCTCCAGTGGATTTTCTCACCAATTGGTCAAACTGCCTAAAGTCCATAGATTTAGTGCCCATTCTGGTAACAACATTACAAAATAATGGAATGAGAGTCTTTAAATCATCAGGTAAATGTGATGTGTTTATTAAACTTCTAAAATAAGTCACTTGATTGGTTGGTTGTGGAAATATAAATACCGGTGTGTTATTAATGTTTTCCATTATAAGTGGTACAGGATCAGTTGTCTTTTTTAAATCGTTGATTCTCAAAGATGGTAAACATGTGACATCTTGTATTGCATCTTGCTGTTTCCGAAGCTCTAACCCTTGTTGATAAATGTTCTCTTTATCTGTATCAGATAAAGGAGCCAGCTTTTCTTTTAGTAACTTTTCCTCTTTTTCTTTTCTCAGTTCTTCAAAGTTGTTTTCTGGTGACATAGTCATAATAAGTTTGTGATTGTTATTTAACAAATACTTATCGACTAATGATTGTAAATAATTAGGTTGATTAGATAATTTTTTCTTAAATTCATCTATCTTTTCACTAACACACATTGAATCTAAAATATTGCCGTCATGATTCCAAATAGGCAAAGTACCATACAGCAGTTGTAATCCAAAATTTGAAGTCTGATGTCTCATAGATAATTCAACAGAATGTAAAATATTATCAATTTCACGGTTATCAAAACCTTCCTTAATGACTGATTTAACTGTATCTTCGTAAATTGATTCCACACGTTCAAAATCTGATATATTTAACCCCTGAAGCCCTACTGCAAAAAATGAGTCTCTAGTTTGATCTGTGAAGCCAGTTGCAGCACTGAAATCTGTTCCAATGTTTGGTTCTATGAGAGCTTTGTAAAACTTAGCATTTGGTCCATTTAATAATAATCTTGAGAGTATGGCTAGTTCAAAGGTTTCTTGTGTATTAGTAATATCGCTCCAAAGGGTGCCAATACTTAAAGATGATTGTTTATCTTTAGGCACCATTGGATCTTCTCTGCAAGCAACTTGTGCACGCTTAGATGTTGCCCAACGTTTTTCATTTGGAACCTTTGTTTCGTCTCTAATAGTTAGATCTGCTGAACAATCTTTTAAAAATGTATCATTCAAAAATCTAAGATGATTTTCTAAGTTAAAATTGCCGTAAGAATAGAACCGGCTATTACTTGGATGATAATATCTGTGGTGAAAAGCAACGAGATCGGAATGAGTTAAAGATGGTATAACATTAGGATCACCACCTGAATTGATGCCGTATGTATTACTTGGTAAAATATAATTCAGAAAATGTTCATTGTAAATTTGTTGATTATCTGAATACACGCCTTTCATTTCATTGTAGACAACCCCTTTTATTTCTATTGGAGAACTTTTGTCATCCACATCTTTATGTTCTAAACGCCAACCCTCTTGACGAAAATCAGATTCACGTAGCATCGGATTGAATACAGCATCTAAATATACTGACATTAGGTTGTAGTAATCTGATTGATTTTCAGTACAGAATGGATAAAAAGTATAATCAGGTGCAGTCATAGCATTCATGAAATTGGCCATGGATCGATTGAGCATTTTAAAAAATGGATCACGACATGGGAATTTTCTACTGCCGCATAATGTAGTATGTTCAAGAATATGTGGCAATCCATTAGACTGCTTTGGTGTTGTACGGAATGCTACACTAAAAACATTGTTTGTGTCGTTTCTATCTATGTGTAGATAATCTGCCCCAGATTTCTGGTGTTCGAGACGCAACGCAGTGAGTTGAAAGTCAGTCACAGGTCTGACTTCTTTAACAACAAAGCCTTCTACGACTTGCCCAACTTCAAAAATAGTATCATTCGGTGTTTTAGTTCTTAGAACGCTAAGGCCACGAATATTTGCACTGTGTTTGGTTAGTGTTTTTGAAAGCCTAAGCATCTTGAACAATTAAAAGTAACGCTGTAAAAAAAAAAAAATTATGTCATGTTACTCGTTGCAATATATATTTAATTGTATTCTATACGTATCATACTACAGTTCTCAATACCAACATGGATAATTTAAATTGAATGTTTGTGGGCTATATTTTCTCATAATCAATCATAAATTATAAGCAATGATGATCATACAATTTTTTGAAAGCATCCTAAGCTGTCAAGATTCTGAACATAATATGTATTATATTTTTACTAATGGATAATAAGAGGAAAAGGTGTTAACACACACTTAAATTAAAATTAATTTTTTTTCTTAATTTTACAATCAATTTAGTCAGAAAGATCGAAAGAGCCTATAACTACCATACAAACAGAATTTTTTTTTACTGAATAATTTGAGAGCATTAATATAATCAAAATCTTGGGAGCAATGGCATATCTCGACACACAGAACCGCACAGAACATAATAAAAACCTAATCTTATCATATGAGAACAATGCTGGTTTTTACAATGATATATGTATAATAAGCAATATGTGATATAAAAAGTTCATTATATCAGGGTTTATACTCATTGTACTAGATATTACAAAAATTGATTGTAAGCCTCCACGGTTCTAGCCCTCTGGCAGACGGTGCACACTAGAGCTCATTAAGGAGAGTCTGTCGCATCAGGGGGTGCTAACCTAACGATGGTAGCCAGAGGAGAAGTAATGCAGTTCCTCCTCTGGTTTCTCGATAACACAAAAATAATAAAAATAAAATAACCATAACAAATATGTCATACTGCATAACAAATTACTATTTGACATTATGGCAAATCTGTCTTAAACCAAGCATACTTACTAACGTATTTCCAATAATAGTTATATTCTGCCAAGTGCTAATATTTCTATATTAATTTTTTGCAGAACATAAAACGACTAAGTAATTGTTAATTTATACGTTTTTTTTTTTTGTTATGATGACAAAATAGATAATTCAGTTATTATTCATGTTTGTATATAAATATATTTGGGTCTGGACGACGACAAGCCGACGACGAGACACTGCAATACGGAAAAAACTAAATAAATCATGTAAACTGAACAGTGAGCTGATTTTGAGTATCGGACTATCGGCTATTCGGCAATTTCGGCTATCAGTATATGATCTAAGGGTTTAAGATAAGATCCAAAGTAAATACTTTTTTCTTCCAAGTACTTTCGGGAAAAATACCTCCAGGTTATCAACATTAATACGAATATTAAGCCGCGACAAAATATATAATATAATGGTATAGGTAGGGATTATCCTTGTTTTTTTTTTGGATAATATATTATGCATTATTTTAAACAATCGCGCAATCACACATGTACATAATATGATTATTGATTAGGTTGAATCGTGCTGGACGATTTGCAACTAGTATAATTTCCATTATTACATTAACAAGGTCTATAAAAATTTCTTTAATCGTGATCGCCGGGTACCTTTTGTTCAACCAATTTTCTTTTCAAGTCAACTTCTTCTAATTATATTAATTTCCAAATTTTAACTATGCTCCTAATTTTCTATTTACTTTTGTTTCTATGCATATTTGTTGAAAAGAATTTGATCCTATGAATGTTTATTCCACAGTATTTATTGTACACAACATTGGGTACAAATATGTTCGATTGCACCTATAGGTAATTTAGACTTGGAGCAATGATGTATTAAGAAAATAAATGCTGGGAAAAACATTTTTACTTCATCTTCAATTTATGCAGAGATGTATGGATGACCTGCCATCATTATACAATTGAGACATGTTTATTTAAGTATTTAACTATCTTAATGTTTTTTTGTAGATCAATATATATCTACCGTGGAAACTTGAAAATTCTATACGTTGTACATTATAAACTATTGTTTTCTTTATTTAATGGAATTGGCAAAATGTTTAGATTAACAATTAGAATGTTCCATACGAGATACGTCCATACTATAAGTATTAGTTTTTTTCCACTTATTTCAGAAAGTTTTTAAAGCAATGCAAAATGCACATAATCAATAATTGGTAGTAATTTTTCTGGGACAAATAAAAACGGAACATATATGTGTGTCAACTAATAAATATTTATTAAGCTAAAATTAAAGTAAATATTACAATAGAAAAATCAGTCTTAACTTAAACCTATCTGGTGGGTACTTTACAATCAGAATATAGGATACAATTCACAATAGTATTTACAAAATATACAATAAAATTACATTGTTAAAGGAATCAATCGACTTCTTCGATGGTAGGTCCTCCGGGACGCGCACCAGGGAATCCTTGAGCACCGGGATGAGGAGCACCACCGGCTTGTCCTGCACCATGTATCTTCATCATGAGAGCCGAGCAACTCTTTTGGATTTCCTTTAGTTTGTACTCGTACTCTTCTTTGTCTGCCAACTGATTGTTGTCCAACCACTGGACGACCGCGTCGCATTCCTGTTTGCCGGTGTTCCTTTCCGATTCGGTCATTTTGTCACCTGCCTCGTCCAACGCTTGTTTAACACCAAACACGTAGCTCTCCAACTGGTTCTTGGCCGCAATCTTAGCCTTTTGCCGTTCGTCCTCTTCTTTGTACCGTTCGGCCTCGCTGAGCATACGATCGATTTCTGCCTGAGACAGGCGACCCTTATCGTTCTTGATGACAATATTCTTGGAGCGGCCAGAGCTGTTGTCCTTGGCCGACACGTTCAAAATACCGTTGGCATCCATATCGAAAGTCACCTCAATCTTGGGCGTACCTCTGGGCGCCGGAGGTATGCCGGTCAGGTCGAAAGTTCCTAACAGGTTGTTGTCCTTGGTCATGGCCCTTTCTCCTTCGAACACCTGGATGGTGACGGCCGGCTGGTTGTCCGCATAAGTGGTGAACGTTTGGGTCTGCTTGCACGGAATGGTTGAATTGCGGTCGACGATTTTGGTCATCACGCCGCCCGCGGTCTCGATGCCCAGTGACAGTGGAGTGACGTCCACGAGCAACACATCTTGAATCGCAGAACTCGTGTCGCCGCTCAGAATGGCCGCCTGTACCGCGGCGCCGTACGCTACCGCCTCGTCGGGGTTGATGGACAGGTTGAGCGATTTGCCGCAGAAATAGTTTTGCAGGAGACTCTGGATCTTCGGGATTCGCGTCGAACCGCCCACGAGCACCACGTCGTGTATGTCTCCCTTGTCCAACTTGGCGTCCGCCAATGCCTTCTCTACCGGCTGCAGGGTCGATCTGAACAGATCGGCGCACAGTTCTTCGAAACGGGCTCGGGACACTCGTGTGTAGAAATCGATGCCTTCCATCAGGGCGTCGATCTCTATGGTGGCCTCCGAACTGGACGACAGTGTTCTCTTGGCCCGTTCTGCGGCCGTCCTCAACCGTCTCAACGCTCTCGGATTGGAGTGCACGTCCTTTTTAGATTTCCTCTTGAACTCTTCGGCCAAATGCGACACCAGTCGGTTGTCGAAGTCTTCGCCGCCCAAGTGCGTGTCACCCGCCGTCGACTTCACTTCGAATATCGAACCCTCGTCGATCTGCAGAACGGACACATCGAACGTGCCACCGCCCAGATCGAATATCAACACGTTCCTCTCGCCTTTCAGGTTCTTGTCCAGACCGTAAGCCAAAGCCGCAGCCGTCGGTTCGTTGATTATTCGCATCACGTTCAGACCGGCTATGGCGCCCGCGTCCTTGGTCGCTTGTCTCTGTGAATCGTTGAAGTACGCGGGCACCGTGATCACGGCGTCCGTCACTTCGCGGCCCAAGTACGCTTCTGCCGTCTCCTTCATCTTCGTCAGCACCATTGAACTGATTTCTTCCGGGGCGAATACCTTCCGTTCGCCCTTGAATTCCACTTGGATCTTGGGCTTACCGAAATCGTTCACCACTTTGAACGGCCAGTGTTTAATGTCCGCTTGCGTCTTGTCGTCGTCAAATCGACGGCCGATCAATCGTTTGGCGTCGAACACCGTATTGACAGGGTTCATGGCTACCTGGTTCTTGGCCGCGTCGCCGATCAACCGTTCGGTGTCGGTGAACGCCACATAACTCGGGGTGGTCCTGTTTCCTTGATCGTTGGCGATGACCTCTACTTTTCCGTGTTGCCAGATACCCACACACGAATAGGTGGTACCCAGGTCGATACCAATCGCTGTTCTTCCAACCATTTCGGCGGTATAGTTGTCAACCTTTAGTCGCACGCACAATTAATACGACAAGAAATTATAAGGATGAAACGTGGGTAGCGGGTACTTATAAAATAAGCACAGTTTACAAGACGTACGAAAAGGTAGATTTAGAACGATCGCAATTCGATTACGATTTAAAATCACTTTGTATTTAAATTTAAAATCACACTGGTAAATTTAATAATGAATAGTTGCAATGTATCGCACTGAGAATCGCACAGAATAGGTTTAATTCGTTCAATGAATCGCACTGTTACCGTTTTGAAATCAAACTGATGCCGAACAGCGCGTGTTCAGAGTTTATATATCCGACCGAACGTTCGAGAAGGTTCGATACGTTTCGCGAGCGCATCAGCTGTGAACACCGCGCCGTCTCCCTACTTTACCACCACCTGTGACGCATTGCAGTCAGTAATATATTTTTACTTTTCACTATACTATCCTTATGAATTTGAGGAACGACAATGGTGTTCAAGAACATTCGAGAATTTTCTCCATCTTTCTCGTTAGTTTTTATTTACATCGCGTTTGGTCACCATCAAACGTCCATATATTTTTACATAGTTTTTTTTTTTTTATTGATTATTGGTCATTTATGGGTAGCTGGTACATACATATAAACGATATATATATATAAGAGGGTTTGACTTAGCCCCCTCAGAATTTTTGTTGTATATTTGGTACAAGGTAATTTAATTGTACTTATCATATTATTGAAATTTAACTTGATGTGGTGAGTGACAATATAGTAGGTACCTACCTAGTTATTTATCATAATGGTGTTTCATAAATCATAACATAACATAATAACTAATATCATTTTAGATTTTGAGCACAGCAAGCTCGTACTTTTGAGGGGTAAAATTTCTAAACTCCCAGTACTTTTCTTAATAGTTAACAGGAAAAAGAAAATAAATAAGGAAATTCGGAAATTATAAAAGATATTGTTCTTTTGGTGTAGGTTAGGTTTGATTCCTAACTAAACACAACAATCCGTAGATACCTACTTGATATTTTCATTAAATTTCTTTATGCTTTTGAGCTACTTCAGACCGTATTAAGTATTTAGACGTTTCCCTCTCGTGCCTTCACACCACTCCTCTAAGATTTTAGTGGTACTAGATGTTTTCCCCCTGAAACAACATATATTTTTTTGCATATAAGAAAATTGTGGAAAATACGTTTTTGGTTTTACCCGAAGTACATCATTATCATATCGGCATCTATCGACTATCATCATTCACGTTAGGTATAAGTTTATTTTCCAATTTTAATGGGTAATGATTGATAAACCTAAGTTATGTGAATGTATTATAGATTTATATTTATATATTAAGTAGACAATTTGTATAATTGTTTAATACAAATTGTCGTAATCAGTGCATTCAATTTTTTCATTTATTGATTTGCATCTGTAATTGGTATAGGTATTGTTTGATACTTATAATATTGATTTTTTTATTGGCATGATTGTTATTTTGACGTATTATTGAATTATGTTAAAATAATTTTTATAATTTGTACATACAGTGGGACGGTAGGTAGGTAAAAAAGTCTCCGTATACTGATGTTAATTTTTTTCAATAACATAAAATGATAATCTAAAAGTTAATTAACTTTATATTTTTAATAAACATGTATTCAGAAACACATTAATATTTTGTTTTTAGGAAAATAAAGCATACATAATAATTATTCTATTATTTACATTTATATTTATAAACAATTTAAGAAAAGTAACAGCAAAAATATCTCTGTACAAAATGAAAAATATTTTTAACTAATACAATATTATAGTTATTATCGCTTTATCATAATTCATAACTTATGGTCTGTTGGCCCTCCTTTGGTTATTATTGCTTTGTGCATTCGCTCATACATTGATTGAACTAATTTTGTTGTAACAGTAAAGTCAATACTGCTCCATACTTCAATTATTGAATTTTTCAATTGGTTTTTGTTTCAATAATTTTTTAAGAGGCAGTTATTTCTCAAAATGTTTGAATACATATTATGTTGATTCATAATATCGTCGAAAAATACTAAATTATCCACACCAGTAGCGCTTAGAAAGAAACCTTTTATCAGTCCAATAAATAAAAAGAAACGTTTAGATTTTGCGAAGGCACACATTGAAAAGGTAAATGATTTTCGGAAATCTGTATTATTCAGGGATGAATGTGATTTTTAAATTTTTGGTGATTTTGATCTGGGGGTACTGAAGCACCCACAAGCACAACCTTAGTTACGCCTTATGAATTTAAGGAACAACAATGGTCTTCAAGAACATTCGAGAATTTTCTCCATCTTTCTCGTTAGTTTATATTTATTGTTTATGTTATTATCAATTAAGCTTATTGTTCAATATTGTAACAGATAGCGTAATAAATAAAATTTTGTTAAAAAAAAAAAAAAATATTTTCATTGCGTTTGGTCACCATCAAACGTCCATATATTTTTACATAGTATTTTTTTTTATTGATTATTGGTCATTTATGGGTAGCTGGAATATACATGATAATATAAATGATATATAATATATATAGGCCATAGGGGGTTAGAGGGCAGGACTTAGCCCCTTCAGAATTTTTGTTGTATTTTGGTACTGGGAAATTTAATTGTACTTAACATAATGACTTGAATTTGATGTATTAGGTATCTACGGATTGTTGTTTTTAGTTAGGAACCTTCACCAAAAAACAATATCTTTTATAATTTTCCGAAATTCCTTATTTATTTTCTTTTTCCTGTTAACTATTAAGAAAAGTATTGGGAGTTTAGAAATTTTACCCCTCAAAAGTACGAGCTTGCTATGCTCAGAATCTAAAATGAAATTTGTTATTATGTTCTGATATGAAACACGATTATAATAAACCTAATAGGTATTATATTGTCAATTGTCACTCACCACATCAAGTTCATTTTCAATAATATGATAAGTACAAATCAATTTCCCTGTATACCAAATATACAAAAAAAATTCTGAGGGGGCTAAGTCCTCCTCTCAAACCCCTTACATATATATATATTATATATAATTTATATTATCATGTATGATGTATGTACCAGCTACCCATAAATGACCAATAATCAATAAAAAAAAAACTATGTAAAAATATATGGACGTTTGATGGTGACCAAACGCAATGAAAATATAAACTAACGAGAAAGATGGAGAAAATTCTCGAATGTTCTTGAAGACCATTGTTATTCCTTAAATTCATAAGGCGTAACTAGGGGTGTGCTTGTGGGTGCTTCAGTACCCCCAGATCAAAATCAACAAAAATTTAAAAATCATATTCATCACTGAATAATACAGATTTCCGAAAATCATTTACCTTTTCAATGTGTGCCTTCGCAAAATCTAAACGTTTCTTTATATTTATTTGACTGATAAAAGGTTTCTTTTTAAGCGCTACTGGTGTGGATAATTTAGTATTTTTCGACGGTATTATGGATCAACATAATATGTATTTAAACATTTTGAGAAATAACTGGCTCTTAAAAAATTATCAAACTTGAAACAAAAACCAATTGAAAAATGCAATAATTGAAGTATGGAACAGTATTGACTCTACTGTTACAACAAAATTAGTTGAATCAATGTATGAGTGAATGCACAAAGCAATAATAACTCAAGGAGGGCCAACTGACCATAAGTTATGAATTATGATAAAGCTATAATAACTATTATATTGTATTAGTTAAAAATATTTTTTATTTTGTACAGAGATATTTTTGCTGTTACTTTTCTTAAATTGTTTATAAACATAAATGTAAATAATAGAATAATTATTATGTATGCTTTATTTTCCTAAAAACAAAATGTTAATGTGTTTCTGAATACATGTTTATTAAAAATATGAAGTTAATTAACTTTTAGATTATCATTTTATGTTATTGAAAAAAATTAACATCAGTATACGGAGAATTTTTTTACCAACTGTTCATTGATTTGCATTGTATATTATTGTTTCATATTTTTAATTTTAATTTTTTGTAACAGGGAGAAATTGTACCGTTCTGGGAGGAAACGTCTTATGATGTTTACTACTTATTGAAACTTGATAAATATAAAACAAAATATATAATAATAATATAGCAATGGTGGTGGGTGGGATTCAGGCTGTTAGTCCACCCTCCCAGCTTAAGCTAGAGTAAATACCTATATTGCATATATTACATAAGAATTCTAAAACGTAAGTAGTTTAAAAACTAACGAAAAAATTATATCTGAATGTTTAGTACAGTATAATGTATATTATTAAACATTTTATTACATTAAAAATAAGTTAACATAAACAAATTACATAATCATACACTTAATTTAATTAAAAATCACATTAATGGAATGATTAAGTACCTACATATTTATAAACAAAAGCACAGATAATCAGTCTATTAAATGCATAACAGTATGATAAACTATTAAAATATTAAAGATATTTTTTCTATGTACTTTATGATACAGAGTTATATGCGTAATATTATGTTTATAATTTTTAATAAAACAATTTAAACAATAATAATGTGTCTATTAAACTATATTATGTTATACATAAGTACATAAACAAACAAGAAAAACAATGAGTTTTGCCACACTAGTGTTGCATATAGGTACACAATATATATCATATCATAATCTTATATAATATACCTATAGAAATATTATTTAATACATATACAAAAGATAAAATTTATTAGTTTCGATAACAAGCGATGAGCATTTCAGTCCCACACAATAAGGAGAGTAACAATATATTATATTTTAATATTATTATAAAGCAGTTGTTGAGGTATCTATAAATTGTTAATTACTGAAAATATTTCCTTTTCATTTTCTATTTATTTATTTATACAATGTACTGAAAAACAAAAAAACGTATAACCATACTTTACTTAAATATAATTTTTTTGGTAACAATATTTGGTTTTTGAAATACACATATACATACATAATATAAACCCCTAAACCAACTAGAAAAAAAATCTGATAGTAATTAGTCTTATATATTTGAAATGCCAAGGAATTAAGTATATAGTATATAAGCCAACCCAGTCTTGATGGAAACAAAAAATGTTTAATTGAAAACATTTGTCTATAGATTAATGATAAAGACTTTCTATGAAATAGTTTAAAATATGCTAAAAATAATTTTTAACTTTAAAAAATAGTCTAATAATTAATATTTATCCGTGGAATTTACTATTTAGTAATATTAAAACATGAGATTTCATTAATATAGTTAAACAATCAGAAGATTTAAATAAGACCATAATGATTTAATATACAATTTAAAATTGATCATTAGTTATCAAAAATAAAAAAAAGATGAAAAGTTCAAGAACTAATAAATTGTATGAATTGTTCTATTTAATATTATGATAAAATAGTTATAAAGCATTACTAGGCCGAGAATTGTTCATACATAATTAAATTTTCTAAAAATACACATATCAGAGAAAAACATTGATGTCAGTTTATTATTTATTTTGGAGCTATGAGACCAGCAAGCATATCAAATGAATTTCCATCCGGTCTGACATCTATAATGTCTCCATCTTCTGAACGAACCCTTAGAAATCCATGATCATCAAGTCCTATCACAGTGGCTTTGAATGACGTTTTATTTGGCCGAAGTACTGTTACTACAGTATTACTAATAAAAAAATACACAATGGATAATTAATATGTGGAGCACAGCAATATAATAACTAAAAAAAATTATTTATACCTATGGAGCCAATATTTGTAGTAAAGATCAAATATAATGTCTACATTGCCATTTTGAACTTGATTCAATAGCCTTTCGAGTTCAGTAAATACAGTTGCAAAATATTGTTCATAAGTCAATGTCTTAAGTTGATTATGAGTGTTTGCATTATGTTCAATGATTATGTCGTTTATGCAAGTGGTAGGTAAATTATTATTTAAATTTACACCACATCCTAAAAAGGTTAATTATAAAAATAAGCATTAATGCAATTCAATTTTATCATTAGTAAAATAATACCAATCGAACAGATGGCTGTGTTTCCAGCTGCAGAACTACTGATGACTAATCCACCAATTTTTGCATTTCCTCCAGCATATATATCATTTGGCCATTTTAGACCGAGATCAAGTTTCTAAAAACAAATTAAATATTAACATGGAAGTACAAAAAATATTACTCCAATATTTACATCATAGCCACCAGGCAGTGAACATATGGCTGACACGACTGACAATGCAACAACATGTTGTAGCAATGCTAGTCTCTGACCAAGTTTTGAATCAAACGGAATGTGTAACTGGACAGAAAACATGGCACAGCCACTTGGACTTAACCATTTATTACCACCTCTACCTTTTTAAAATAAATTATAACATTATTATTAAAGTCAAAATTTTAAAGTTATTAGCTACATGCATATGTTTATGAATATTACAACACATAATAAGTTAATAGTTTTACCAATTCCAGTAATTTGTTGTTTTGGAATGACTACAAGCCCATGCCAGGATATTGGATCGTTTAAGAGCTTCATGGAAGATGACATGACTTCTCCAAATATTACTAGGCGTCCTAATTCTTCAGTATGGAGATTCTATAGACATTCAATTATGTATTCAAATTTCAAATATAATAATAAAATACAAGGAGATGTATGGAATATTTGTATACATTTTTCAGTATGATCATATTACAGCTTTGAAGCTTTTAAAAGTTTTTGGACTCTTAGATTTTGTGTTTTGTATCAGTTGATGTAGTTTTTCGTTAATTTTGCAATTTTTTATATTTAACCTATTTATAAACTTTTATTTAGCTACACACTAATGACTAATGAGTCATCAAAAAATGCTTATTGGGTTAATAAGAAATAATCTGATAAAATTAAAAACAAGTTAAAGTGTCAAATTTATTTTCTGCAGTTATTAATTTCATTTTTCATTGAAAATGTGTAGTACACAATAAACAAATAATTTCAAGACATCACTCAGTGTTATTCATTTTAATTAAAAAGTTACAACTTATAAAATTGATAAGCAGTTTGTACTCGTTTCAATATTTTATTAAACTAATGTCATAACTCAAAATATATAGTTTTATTGGTAGTAATTATATATTTATATGTGAAGCTTACTTTGAAATATTCTTCTTCACTGAAGTTCATTTGGAAATCATTGCAAATTACAGGCAAGGAGTATTCACTAGCTCCAATGCACATTTCATCTTTTGTGCAAAACTGAACTTTTAAGTCTTTCAATAGCAACACATTATTTTTTGATACTTTTCCATTTAAAGAAGTTAAAAATTTAACTTTATCCTAAAAATTAAAAATATTGTGAACATGAAATATCGAGGATAAAATTATTTATCAGACAATACAACACACATTTTCGGTTCCTAGTAAATAAGCAGGTGTGTGTTTTGGTTTTTGATCACATGAAACACAATCCAGTCCCAAATGGGTGCTCAACAAATCTTTAATTAATAGATATCTATCCTCAGTAGTTGAACGGTATTCTCCATTTTGTTGGGCATCGATTTCTAAATGCACCTGAAGTGGTTACAATGTTAATAATTTTATATAAACTATAAGGATTTTTTGAGTAAATATCAATAATTACTTGGGAGAAAATGACTTTTCCTCCAGACGGAGCTGTTGCTAAGATTAAACTAGGCGTTTCCCAGGTATCTTCGGCAGCCAGAACTTGAATGTCAATAGTATGATGCTTGTTGTTTGTATCAAACATATCTACAACGTCTAAATTCTTTTCTTCTTTAACACTAATGGATTAAAATTAAAATTTTTTTATTGCAGTTCATTACACACTGAATTAAATCTTTACCCATTTTCAGATGGAAAATGATCATTATTGGGTATGCTGGGTTGGTAACAGAGAACATGGTGCAAGAGAGATGTTCGCATGGACAATGGACGGTACGTAAAGCTAACAATGTCATCGGAACACACTTCAGCTGTACTAAAAGCAGTTGGGAGTAGTGTTCCAAGAAAATCAGAACACAAGCATAAGATCCGACCTCCTTCTACTAACAGGTAATGCTCAAGTAATGGATAAAGTTCATCAGGTACAGCACCGTAGACGACTACCATTGTGGCCTGTGATGTCCATGGTGAATGAAGCATTTTCTCTAAGCTCAAAGTATAGATTGTGTACCTACATAATAAATAAATAATAAAATGTAGACATTTAATATTTAAAAACATTACAGCAATAATAATAATATTTATTTGTTGCAACAATAATAATCAAACATTTTACAAATTTACAATTTAAAACGGTATACAATATGTAAATATTACAGCACCTCCTAAAAACTAAGCTTGTGTTGTGGGAGCATGGAAGTATTTATAATTATTTAAAATAGAATTTTCAAATTCAATGATTAAGTTTATCAAATGCATAAAATTATATAAATATTTAATTTACAAACATTATATGATATGATATTATATTATATTCATTATTTATTGATTTTGATCAAATTTAACTTTGAAGACAGTTTAAGAATTTTATTGTATATAAACACCCAAACGAGCAATAGAATGGATACAGAATTCCTAAAAATATAAATTTAACTTAAGAATATATAATGTAATAACTATTATTGTATATAAATACATCTGATTATATCTTTGTGAATAATTTATTATTCAAAATTTAAATGTAAGCACCAAAGAGTCAGTATCAAAGTCAAAGTCAAAATCATCAAGAATATTACTATCACGAGCCATACCATTTTTTGAATTCATTAAAACTATTGTAATAAAAAACATATAAGGATATGTAAAGAGATGAAACATTAATATCAGATTACGATAAAAAATTAGATGCTGATGGACACTAAAAGATATGGCTTGGCTATTATCAAAACTTGATTCATTGTATGACAGAAGAAGAAGGAATTTATAGATGGTTATCATTAAAAAAAAAGAATAAATTTATGCTGTATAAAAATTCACTAAAAAATGTTTATTATTAGTACTGCAGTGTTGTGTAAATTCATTAATTTTAACAAGTGGGACATATAAAATGATATGTGTACAATCGAGCATAATATTGGCTTGATTAAATAAAATCTATAATTTAATGGCATCAACAAAATAATTAAAATAAACAAGACCATGACCTAAACTAATGATAATAGTATTATTATAGTAAAATAAAATGTAACTATATGCAACCAATATTATTATTAGAACTTGTTAAAAACTACAAATTACAATACTCACAAATTTATTACGAATAACAACAAAGTATTTGATTAGTTTTATTTAATTAAATTTGGTAAGTTTTTGACAATTATTTTACCTGTATCTATGCAAGACAGACTCCAATGAATGCTGAATTTGTTGAGCACTGGAAGCACTCTCACTAAATATAATAATATTTGGTGGTTTTCCAGTTTTTGATTCACCACTATGTTGCACAGGTGTATGACATCGAGGTCTTGTTTCTATACTGTTACTAAAATCTGAAAATGACCGATGACTTCTCGTCATTGAAGTATTTAAAGAGTTACTATATATCCCAAACACATCAGGACTACTTTTAATTGGTTTCATTCTGGAAGAGAAAAGAGAAATAAGCCATCGACAGAAATATTTTTATTGGTATTTGCTTGCCACTATTGATGCTATGTTAAAATATTCATACCCGCTTGATATTTTTACTTCATTTTCTTCAATCGGAGTGAGAACTATTCTTCGAAAACTAATAGACTCACTGGAACTGGTTGAAGCACTTTCATAATCATATTCACTGTTTGATTTTCCATTTAATCCATTGTTAAATTCACATTCATTGTTAAATCGAACATATTGTAAGTGATTATCTTTTGGAATTTCAATTGCAGGAAGAGTGTTTTTATGAATTTTACTCTCAGTGAAATTTTCTGACTTAACATTTTTTCTAATAGTACTATCAACTTCATCTTGTACATTTTCAATAACAACATAATTGTCCATACTTATTTCATTTTCAGGTTCTCTTGACAATACTGCTGAACTGAAAAATAAATAGCTAATTAAAAAATTATTAAAAACAGTTTAAAACTAATTATAAATGTTACCAAAAATTAATAGGTTTTCCAGATTTTAATACATTTGTTGCAGCCACAGATACAGCATAAAGTGTATCACAGTAATTTTTCCATTGAACAGTTGTTAAATTTTTGTTCATACCTATGTGAAAATAATTGAATAAAATTACACATGTCTTTATAAACATTAACCACATTAAAATGTACCCCAATTTTCATGTAAACTATAAACAAAGTCAATATTAGACGCAATTGATTCGCTATTTTCAATATCACACGGTTGGCCTTCAACTTTTACAGCTACAAAAAAAAAAACAGAATAAAATTTTAAGCAATTATTGGCAACGTATTTAAAAAAAATTATAACAGACTTTGTATTCGTAGTAATTCCATATGGTTTCCCAGATACAGCGATTTTGAATTAGCCATAAAATTACTGGTAAGTTTAGCAAAATGATCCAGATCAGTTTCCAACAATAGACCAAAATTTTCTCCAGCACTCCACGCTTTAGGCACACCAAAGTCTTCGATCTAAAATAAACAAAATATATTTATATATAATCACCAAATACAAATAAAAAATTGTCAAGACTTACAAAACATTTGTCTATGTTTTGATGAACATTAAACATTCTGTAAGTAGCTTCAACCAATAAATGAAGTTTTGTTTCTAGTGTTAAAGTTATTGGCTTATGTGTATTCAAGTGTGCAGGAAAAGTAATAGGGTTGTTTGGAATAAGAATCCAACTATCAACATTCAATATTTGCTATAAAAATAAAACAATAAAATTAAGACTGATAAAAAATGAAATATGTCAATATTTTAAGTTTATATTTTATGTTTTCAATATTACATCATATTTGAAATTTATTAATGCATTTATTTTATAAATTGTTAGTTCTTCTTCTTCTTCTTTGCTCTCTGCAGCTATATGAGGTTAGCCATCTTTGTCCAATACCTTCATAGGCTATGTCCTCTAGTACTTTCACATACACCCTCGGTACTCCTTTCCTAACAAAATATATCTATTGCATATTGCCTCCTCTAAATCTATAAGCACCATACACAAATGACTTTTATTTTCCCCACACAAATTATTGATTCCATCATCAATATTTTTAGTATAAATCCAATCGGGCTCAAACAAAATATTGATTCCATCACTGATATTCTTGGCATAAATCTAAAATGATTCCTTAAAATTATAGAATCACTTCTTATCCTCGTTTCCTTTATACTATGACTCATAAGATTTATACAGAGCCAATTAAAACTTAAACTTTAATATTACCTACTCAAATAAAAAAACAAGCAATCAAATTATGTAATAAAATTTAAATATACATGAATAAATTACCTCAGGAAAAATTGAACATGACCTTTTATGCCCAACAAATGATAGGATCTGATCAAGTTGAGCGGACCTAGCATCTTTGCAACTGTCTGAAGTAATACCGTGAGGTCTTAGGGATGTAAATATATCATCATTTTCATTACTGTATAAGTCTAAAATGACGATTTCATAAAAATGTTGTCAGTTGAAAAATAAAGCTATTTAATAATATACATACTTTTGTTGTCTAATCCTACAAAATCTTTTTCTTTGTATAGCACTAATGTCAAATTTTTTGAGAGGTATTTTTTCAAATTTGATTTTATATTTGATAATCTATATGATTGAAACCAATTGGAAGCCATATAATACAACGTCAGCAGCATTGTCTCTTAAGGATACCATTAACAGAACTCAAAAATTTCAATTGGTAACATTCGTATTTACCAACAATAACTACCAAAAATATAAAATAAACATTAATTACAACAAACTAGTAATTTGATAAACACCATAATAATAATTATGTTTCATGATTACACTAAGAAGGAATTGGATTTGTAGAAGGTCATCCGTGAACTTACTTTCATTTGGACGACTATTATGATGATGATAAATAGGTTTAATATATTAAATTAAACTCGAAAAATGACATTTCACATTGCATCCCGTGCATATTGCATAGCTACAAACCACTATGACATTCAACTGACTTTAAACCCGCAACTGGCATAATCACTAATCAGAATATCAGATTAGCAATTTTATTAATATATATAATTCGATAGTGGTTGATCGTTTTTGATATGAGAAAAATTACATATTTACTATTTATTTTTTATATTTATGTTTATACATAAATTATATTTATAAAAGTGTGTATAAAAAAATAAAATCTTTGATAATATAATCTTTAATCTTATAACTTTGACAGATGTGCTGCTGTAGGACGTTATCCCTAGATGGCAGCATAACATACATTGTTTATTATTATAATTTTCTTTTTGACTTTTTGACACGGTCACACGGACGGTATATTTTGACGACCAAGGTGATGAATGATGATGAATTCTGAATAGTTTGTACATTTGTATTATTGAATAATATTCGTTATTACTTATTTGGTATTAACTAATAACTTATAATTGTAATCGGTAATATATTATTCAGATTTCAGTTCCTTTATGGCTTGATAGCTTATACATTTATAATTATTGACAGTGGTGTTGGAGTACCTACCCAGGCTTTTTCAGTGGGATGTGAATAGCTAAACATACTACATTAAAACTACGTAGGTACCTACCTGCCGTAACGCCTGTACCTAATAATTATAATTTATTATAATTTCATAATAAATTATTTAAATTATTATACTAATAATAAAAATTGTATATTACCTGTTTATTATACAGGAATTATATAGATATTTAAGTATTTGCATATAATATATTATATAGGTAACAATGTATACATACAAAAATACAATTATAACATATTAAAGAATCTTTATATTTATGGAATATATTTTACGTATAAGGTAGTGTTGTATGTTACACTGTAAAGAGTTATATTATATTGATTATTTTTATTTTTATCCAGTTCTAAATTTATAAATAGGGTGATTTTTTAAACATGCTCGCACCAAATTTTCTTTTAATAGTACATTTATTTAATTTCTAATTTTTAGAATTTTTAAATATACCAATAAGCTATATTTTCAAATACCAGATACATTTTGTAGTACTTAAGGAGTGCCCGTGGTGGTATAAATTTCTATTTTTTTAATGAGAACCGTTCTTTTTTACTGCAAATTATTGTGCGGATGATTTTTGTGAAAATGTTGATGTATCTAAATAAAAAATTCTAATGAGTAGTTTCCGAGTTATTAAAATGTTTTACTAAGGATAATAATCCTTAAAAATGGTTTTACAAATATTTAAACTATAGTTATGTTATATTAAATGCAGTATTTATGTACTTGGACATTTTTTACGAATTATTTATATTGATTTATCAATAGTTTTGGGTAATTAGCATTTTCAAATCATCTGCTAAGTCCCGCTATTACTACTTAACCCATCACCTGCCATAGACATTACGACATATGGATATAGACTGGAGGGTATGTTCGAATAAAATAACTAAATAACTTACTTTTCCACTGAAGGAACGGACTTTACCATAAAATATATAAATATTGTAGAAGGTGACACTGGTAATAATAAATATTAAATAACACTTTTGTAGTTTAGGGGAATCAAGTGAAAGTGCTAAACTAATAACATGTAATATGTTGACACATTTTAAAAATATGATAAATGAAAAAAAAAAAAGTGAAAGTGAATGTATTTTACATTTTTACATGGTATTTCAAATAAATAATATTTTAAAATTTGGTGCAGTTTTTTTCGGGCATTCAATATTACATATATAATATTATAATAATTTTTAAATATTTTACAATATAATATTAAAATAAAATAATAAAATATATTGTATGATTTGTATGTGAATATGGTAAATATATAATAATATCATTAATACCGGAAACATCTTTTTTTGAAAAATAATAATTTTTTGTCACACAATTCGGATGTAGCCCTAATTGACATGGGGGTCGTACGATGACAATCGCTAACAGTCATCACCACTCACCACACTAATAGAAACTGAATGGCCCAAAGTGGGAGAAATGGCCCAACAGGGCCTGGTAATACTGTAACAGCCGCTGCCTTCGATCTGCATGCTCGAAACGGGTTTAGGGTTACTACTTACTAGTTAGGTACTTCCCTTGTGGCACAGAATTTTTGTTTTACGGTAACATGTTATTTTTGGAAAAGTCTTGGCATATGACTATTACACCCCTCCTATAAAACATATTGCCACTGACGCAAGGTCTTGGTTGCAATACTTTTTAAATAAGAATCCGATTTTATACTTAAAATTTTGTTGGAAATCAATCGATTTGATACGAACAATGGATGAACATGACAGAAAAGACAGTCTCATCGTTAAACTTCGCAACGAAACAACAAACTTAAGTTCCTCGGCTGAAACTTATGATTATGACGTGAAATAACTTCATGATACAATAGAATGCACTATGTAAGTTAGTTTTGTTTTTTTTCATTTATTTATCTGTTTAATATAATATACTTGCCTTTGATATTCATAATTTCCATATAGGTTTTTAAAATTATCTATTGATGTGGAAAAAGCAAATGAATTAAGCATTCAGGAATTATGGAATCGAATAATGGAAACAAATATTTAGGTGCATAATATAAACTCAGTGGTAACATATTCTTTCAAGAGCTATAATGAATTTACTTAAGGAGTTAAGGCAATCATTTATTTTAGACGACATGCCTAATCAACATACTTGAACCACAGATAGTCTGCTAGCGTCTAGCAACTATAGATCTAAACTAGATATTAGGATGAATAATATTTATGAAGAGTTCATGAGTATTTTCTCCAATTTGAAAAATCATATCAGTTTTTCGGTACCATTACTATTTACTACAATTGATGAATTGAACCAATGACTTCATAATAATATGCAGAGAATCATGGGAATAGGCATGACCACATCTGTGGGCAAGCATGGCCTATCCGTATCTTTAATATGATAGGTAAATACAAAATGGTCACACTGGTGTTGTTAGGTTATGTTTTTATAATCAAATTTTTCTGCATTATCAGTGTTAGTTTGCAATATTTCATTCTTAGAGAATAATTAATAATAAAAAGCTTGATAGAAAGATATTCAAGTAAAAAGTATACATTTTTGTTCCTTTTAATTTTTTATACATTTTATATGATAGGTATTTAGAGAGCGTTTTAGTTTATATAAATCACAATAATTATAAATAATTCAAAATGAGTTCAATTGGAACTGGTGTAAGTATATGTTTTGATTTTTTCAACGGTAATGTCCATTTAACATTTTCGATTTGTTAGCGTCATATATCATGTAAAGTCCACAACATTAAAGATGATAATAATATTTCACTACGTTTTTGGATTTCGCTAAATTTAATACATGAGAAATATTTTCTTTACAGTATGATTTATCAGCATCTCAGTTTTCGCCTGATGGTCGAGTATTTCAAGTTGAATATGCCTTCAAAGCAGTTGAAAATAGCGGGTAAATACCATCTAGCTATTTAATTATTATGTTATTTTTAATTTAATCTATGATTTGTCTTTGTTAGAACTGCCATAGCATTACGTGGTTCTGATGGTGTTGTTTTTGCCGTGGAAAAGTTGGTCACGTCAAAACTTCATGAAGATTGTACAGGAAAAAGATTGTTCAGTGTGGAAAATCATATTGGAATGGTAAGTCTTGAAGTACATATATTTTTTAATCCATCATATAATCATATATTTCCGTTTAGGCTGTTGGGGGATTGACTGCTGATGCTAGTGCAATATTAGATGTCGCACGTGAGGAAGCTAGATCGTATCGTCAAAACTACAATATGCCCATTTCATTGAAATATTTAAATGAAAGGGTATCCATGTACATACACGCTCATACATTGTACAGTGCTATTAGGCCATTTGGATGTGCTGTGATTATTGGCTCTTATGATCCTAAGGACGGTCCTCAAATGTATATGATTGATCCAGCTGGAGTATCATTTGTATGTTCTTGTTTATTTGTTTATAAATATTGTTTAACATGTTCTTAGAGTTCACCAAGATTACAGGGTTATAATATTTTATAAAACTTATTATATAAAAACCTATACTAACGCAATCAATTTTGGTTGTAGTTCAACACTGTTATAGTATTTTCTTATATTATTTAAAAAATTTAATTTTTAGTTAAAGAATGTGTGCTTTATTAAGAGGACATCTCAACCGCATGTGTTGTCTTTGTCTTACACACATGTGTACTTAGCACATTTTTATTCACCAGTTTCAATGTTGTGCAGTTAGTTTTGATATTAGTGTAAATTGACCTAGCTTTAAAGTAATAATCAAACTTTTAGGTAAGAATATTATCTGTGTTCTCTCATTGATTTTTTACAATATTTTAATTTTTAAGAGGACATTATACCCGCGTTGTCTCCATCTTACAAGTGCGTAACATACCAAATTTTATGCTCAGATCACGTTTAGCTCTGTCAGTTTAAAATTAAGAGTGAATTTACCTCTTATTAAAACTAAAGGTAAAATTATTATAGAGGTTTTCTCTTGGGCTTTTTATTATATTTTAATTTTAAGACCAGTTATGAGTATTTTAAAATTGTAAATTGTTTGTACATCTTAAAATATTCATAACTCTCTTTAAAATTAAAATACAATAAAAAGCCCATAAGATTCCCTCCATAATGATCTTACCTTTAATTTTAATAAGAGGTGAATTCACTCTAATTTTTAAACTAACAGAGCTAAACGGGATCTTCTGAACGCACAATTTACATACTTACACACTTGTAAAACTGTGACAACACATGTGGATATAATGTCCTATCAAGTGAGTTATGATTATGTTAAGTATTAATATTTTAGAATGCTCATAATTCTCTCAAAAACTAAAATATTGTAGAAAAAAACCAACGAGACAACATAGATAATGTTCTTACCCATAGGTTTGATAATAGGCCAATTCACTCTAATATCAAAACTAATAGCATACTTTTGAATCTGGTAAACAATAAATTCACTATGCTGAATGTGTGTAAGATGGAGACAACACATGGGGGTACAACATCCTCTTAATATATATTAAGAGCTAAACATTTATTTTCTTATATTTATAATTTTTTGATTTTAGGGATATTTTGGATGTGCTATTGGTAAAGCTAAACAAACAGCTAAAACTGAAATAGAAAAGTTGAATATGAAGACAATGACATGTAAAGAATTGATTAAAGAAGCTGCTAAGATGTATAAAAATTTAATATTTGTTATTTTGTATTATATATTAATATATTATTTAGTATATGTTTGACATTTTTTTTAAATTTATTTTTAGAATTTACATGGTGCATGATGAGCTGAAAGATAAACAGTTTGAACTTGAACTTAGCTGGGTTGGTAGCCATACTAATGGAAAACATGAAGAAGTTTCAAAAGATGTATTTGATGATGCATTGAAATATGCTAAGGCGTCTCTGGATGATGACTCTGGTTCAGATGGAGAGTAAACTATTGTTAATGATTTAAGGAAAATTGACTGTTTGTCAAATTAAAACGGTACATAAGTTTAAAAATATTTTTTTTTTTTTTATTTAATAAAAAAACAATAACATTTTTGAATTTGATTTAAACTTATTTGTCTACCTTGTAATAGGTAATTTAGTAATAAGTAATATATTTACATATTTATTACACATAATTTTTTTTAACTACCTTTTATGGTTTCTGACATAAATAACGTCAAGTGTTTGATAACTATTTTGTTATTACAATATTCCCTAAATAATACAAGGAATTCAAATTAAATTTAGGGGTTATTGTGTATTAAAAGTGTATACTCACGAGTGAAATTTTATTTTATAACAATAAAATGTAGTTGATGGTTAACTTAAAAATAACTATTATAATAATATTCACATTTATTACATAAAAATAAAAAGCTAAAAGCTATGGTTATATGTTAATTTATTCTGAAGGATTTATTAATTTTGGAAAACGTAAAATAAAAAATATAGATTATATGCAGAGCTGACGACAGTCATTTTGGGCCAAATTTTATAATTTTATACCCTGATAACGGCAGGGGCGCAATTTCAATAAAAAAGGTGGGGGTGCTGAAGTCCTCATTTTTTTTCATATTATCTTATGGCTGTGGATGCCTGCATAATGACTATTAAAATGAAAATAAATATGAAAAATATTGGGCCTATGGATAATGATAACTGCATAATTTAAGGTACCATTTTTGATAACCATCAGTTCTTTTTTCTTTTTGAATGATACTAAGCTTGTTTAAGTCTTTGTTAAATCTTCAAAACCATTTTCTGAACGTCCTGAGGAGATTATTTGGCAGGACATTCAATCTAAAGTTGAACATTTTTGCTTTCTTGAAATTTGTTTGTTGGATTAGAAGTGGTTTATTAATAGTTACTAACAGTTTTTGGATCTGAAGTCAATTTTGCCATTGTATTACACCTAAAGTTATAGAACTTGTTAATAAAACATTTATAATTTAGTAATACAAAATTTAAAATTTAAAAATCTATAAAAAAAAATGTCTATATAGTCTTGAGATTCTTATGTTTGTTCAACAGTTTTACTAAATGCTTTGAGTTTTTATAATTTTGTAATTTTTTTTAAAAAATGTTTATTTACTTTAAATGATTATACATCAAATTTGTGCCTACATTTGTTTTTAAACTTCTATAGGACCAATTTATGTGGGATATTCACATATTGTATTTTATTTGTTGGTACCCCTTAGCCCATCAAATTATAATTTAATATTCGGGTACACGCATTTTCTTTAAATTTTTGCATCCCTTTTCTAATTATTTTACAATTTAAGCACTGCGTAAACGTATATTAGACTACATACTACATATAGGTTCCTATATACGTTATAGTCTTAATTATTTACGTCGCGTTCTTATCTAAAAAATATTTTCTCCTACGTACCAAACCGATCCAGTCACGGCATGGATCACCAGTAGGCTTTTGATTATATTTCTGCTGTGATAACTAATAGGTTGGATTAACATTTTCAAACGATAAAAATCAAAATATTTCTTGTCTATAAAGTCTATGGTTTATATTTTAGCTGGGTTACAGTAAGTTGTGGCCTCGTGGATTAGTATCAGTGGTACCTATATATAATATCTAGCGATCGGTATGTTATACACACGACCTATCCAGTATCCGGGAAACATTTTTGGGGAGCAAAACATTGAAATACCCACTTCATTATGATTTTATGAAACTACAAAAGAATCAATTATAAAACTAGACCAACTACATATTAAACGACATCAAATTACAATAAATTGTATTTATATGTCTTTTCAAAGTAATTGGTAGTTGATTTTTTTTAAATACCAACCTATACAATTATAGCTAATTATTCACTATTGAGTAAATTGTTGTTAAATTATAAAATGTAATATTATATATAGTAAAACATAAAAAATAAGTTGTAGATATCGTGGGTAGTAATGGTCCTTGCAGGAGTGCTTTTACTGCACTTCTTGTACCTACTTCACTGTATAATATGATTAAATTATTATTTTCCATTTTTTCATTATAAAAATATAAAACTAAGGCTGAGGTCATAAGCAGGTACGGATTTAAAAATTAGAAATGAGGGACGGGCTACATTTTTTTCGAAAAAATACAATTTTATTAATATTTAAAATTTATAGATTTTAAGACGTATGAATTATTTATTATACAAATAAATACATAGTACAATAGTATTACTCGCTTTGACAGTACATATACTATACTAAAAGTATAATCTAACGGGGGGGGGGGGGCTAAAGCTCCTTAGGCTCATTTGGATCCGCGCCTACCCGTAAGCATAGACAAGAATAGCCCGTAAGTGGTGCAACTATTGCACAAATTCCTGTACACGCCAATGATAGATACATACGAACGTGTTGCTCGGTCATATATAATCCTGAGAGAGACCATTGACCAAGGGCTGTAATTTGTAATCATATGAAATGTATAAAAGAGCAAAATAAGTTCCCATAACCCTATATTATGATAATAATACTACAGTCCTTATAATATTACAGATTTACCATTTACAGTATTGCAGATTTACAAGATGCACGAAAAGGCAAAAAAAAATTGATAATACATCATATTATATACTACATGATACATACCTAAATAGAAATTCTTGTGATATTAAAATTATGTGAGTTGGTCCACGGTCAGTTTGGCTTATACGATTAATATTTCCGTACGGCTGGTGGTGACGGACCACTGCTGCAGAACATGATGTGGACATGTGGTCGTGTGGACCGTGGTCGCTAACGGTAACTACATTATTATGATCACTACATAACAAATTTATTTTGTCACGCTTTTGGTCTGTCGGGAGCAGTTGTACCAATCTTTATAACCGTTGAACGTTTTGCTGACGATTTGAATACGTCGACATTTACGGTGGAAATACCCTAGCTGGTGGTTTGGCCGGCAGCAGTGTCCACTTGGTCGAACAAATAACCGTACAATGGATCCAATATCAAATCGCTGAACAGCATGTGGACGGCAGCGAGCACGTAGAATAGACACAATACGCACACGATTAAGTAGACGTATTTGAACATTTCGTATGTGTTTCGCAGTCTGAAAGAAAAGGAAAAGAAAAATGGGTATACTCTTGAAGAGCAGAATATTAGAATATTATATATATACGGGTAAGGGTAACGATAAAATATAATATACGTTGAAAAAAAAATTAAAAAACAGTACAGGTACGTACCTAAATATAATATTATATTATAAAAATCGTCGAGCGCCGAGCGGTGTAACGCGTGTGTCGGGAACGTGTGTTACAGTTCAAATGATGACATATCGAAGTATTAACAGCAAAATAATACGTATATAACGACACTTTTATTATCACGGAATCGTCGAGGCAGGTTTGTGGGAATGTCGCAAAGAGGGATCATCGAAGGATATTAACAAGCAGTAATATTGTACAAGTCGATCAGAATTTCATTGTTACAGACATTATTTTGCTTAAAAATATAATATCCTAAATACGGACGGTTTTATGAAATTAAACTTTACTAATTACCTGCAACGATCTAAAATATTTGTTTTTAAAACACCTCTTACGGTGAGGGGAGGGGGGATTGTGGAGGTAAACGTCTGAAAAACAAATGAAAACAACTACTTTTTATTTGACATCACGCTTCAACGCGTCGCGTCCGCCGTCAATATTTTTTTCTCTTTAATTTGTTGATACATAAATATCGAATATTATTGAATAAATAGTTTTTCGTTTCTATCATTGATAATAGTTACCTTAAATTTGCTCTTACAAAACAACAAGTGGACTATGTAAAAGCTATGATCAAATACTTAAAACATGTATAGTTAAAAATATAAAAATAAATTTTACCCACATAATACTAAATTTCTATATGAACACAAAATTTGTTTTAGTTAAGTATTCTATTTCTGAAGATTACAAAACTACAATTATGTATTGTCAATTGTCGTTAGAACATCAAAAGACCGATGTGATAAAAAAATAGTAAAAGATTAGATTGTTTTTGTAAAGATGTAGTGTCACCGTCATGAATACTCCAAACTATATGCATATAAAAACCCATTTTTCCAAAGACTCATTATCGACTAGAATAAACGAGGTTATACCTCGAGTGAAGCATTGCGAACTATATGCTCATTTAAATATATAGACACATTATACAGGTGTACGTACCACTGAATGATTATGCAGGCAATATATACCTATTATTATTGTTGTCTCGACTAATTATTACTGTGCACTTCGCCCAAATCGTACAGTTATCACTACACCTGTAGATACAGCGGAACACTTATGTAAACGCATATACGTGTCACGATGTGTGCATATGTACCTTATATGTTAGGTTTATGGTGCTCTTAAGTCAACAAACGCGTGAGAAATATATTATTTTATACACAATACTCTAGCAAAGAAGACTTCAAATACAAATTAAATTCTAGATAAGTCTAAGTCTATATAAGTTTATCTATAGTATAATATTGTAGGCAAACCACCACGCCAATATACGTGTAGCGTACTATGCACATATATTTATATTATGTGTTGTTACAGTAATTGTTGAGTCGTAATTTTAATTTGAATATTAGGCACTCGAACATAACTTGAGTTATTATAAATATGTGTATACTATATATTATTGAAACGGTATGCACAGATTGCTATGTTTCGTACAAAAACCTAGGACAATCCCCCACCATATATTATATACATAAAGTTATTTGATACGTAACACCACTTTTATTAGAATTAAATAATTCAATAATTAAACAAATATAATTTAATATAATACAATTGAGAACATTTCAATTTATTATCCGTTAATGATTACAATACTAAAACGCACTTTAATAATAATAATAATAATATAAATATATAATAATATGAATATGGTGTATAATATGTTATAAGCAATAGATGACTGAAATTGTTATTTTTATGAAAACAAAATTAAAAATTTTGGCAAATATGTTACTGTATTTGTTATTTATTATTTATAGTTAGAAGGAGTAAAATGTTGAGGTGGCTTTCTAGTTTTTGAGGGTGTAGGAATAGTTTGTTTATCGGTTGATGTTATGTGTTGGTTTAGATTGAGACATTGAGTAGCATCATTAATGAGTGAATCTATAATGTTAGTCTCGGGGGGAAAATGAGTAATTTATTTGACTATGTGGCCATATGTGATTATTGTGTCTAGTCCATTTAGAACCCTCGTCAAATGTTACTTTATGAGTACTTTGACTAATATTTTTGTGATTTTTTCTTTTTGTCGATTTTGATCTTTATATTGAAAATCCTTAACTAATTCCAAGTTACACGAGTACGAGTCGATTCCACCTTATTGTCCTTATTTTTATTATTACTTATAGATTCTTTTGCAGTGGCAATTTCCATGAGATGCGAATACCCGATGCTTATTTTTGAAGCATCTTCTTCGAGTAGTCGATCTTGAATTTGACCTGAGTTCATACCCACAGCAAAAATGTCACGGATTCAAATTGGCAATTCCGTTGTAAAATTACATTTTGATGCGAGGTTCTTTACTCTTGCACCCCATTCAGCTACAGACTCGTCTGGTTGCTGTTTTGCATTGTAAAATGCACATCGCGATACGAAGTACGATTTTACTGGCTTGTAATATTCAGTTAATAAACCTAGAAGTGTGTCGTGAGAGTGTCCGGGCTATGTGGAACACATAAGCTGAATAATATTTTGTGAACTTCCTCAGAAATTGAATATAAGAATATGGCTTTCTTCTGGACTTCGTTTGTGATTCCATTTGCTATAAAAAAATTTGTAAGTCTCGATTCAAATATTATTATATCGTTACCAGATTCAAATTTTCCAGGTGAGCCTATTATGTGATGACACTGAGTGATACTTGTTTTGCCATCGGCCATTTTAAATATACTGCTATGAAATTGAGTTCGAATAGAAAATAACCTCGTCACCAATTCATTGAGTTGTAATATTTATATGAATAAGATATACTCGAACGTAAAATTGTGTTATTATAAATAATGAAAAAAAAATGAATTATAAATATGTGTATATTATTGACACTGTGGACATAGACTGATCGACTGATGCACGAGACATGCACGACGTGTACTCGTGTATGATAGGACAATCCCCACTATACATTATGAAATGTATACGTTTATTTGATACGTAACAGTAATTATATTATATTGCTTACTTTCGCTGAATTTTTGAGGGAGCTGAAGTTGATGGAGCATCATCTGCAATCCGTTTCACTGTGTGACAGCATTGCAGCGGCAACTGTAAAATATGGACTTGCGGCCCCTCAAAGTCTCAACATATAGCTTTATCTCCCGACTTAAAAGCTCGAGGAGGATATTTTGTTGTACGTACAATATTTTGTAAACACGACAGTACGCATAATAATAGGTTTTATACGAGTGTGTGAGCAGTACATATTATAATTCACGTGCACGAGATGATGTGTATAGCCGGTAAAGTTATAGCCAGTTGTAGTGTACTCATAATTATTATAATTTCATCAAATAAATACGAATCGTTTGGGTAGGAGAAAATGGGAGGTTGTATAATGTAAAAACCGCGTTCGAGCTCTTGTTATATTATATTGGTACTTTATAGACCAGGGAAGGCAAATCCATGGCACGTGAAAAGATTTTGTGGGCACGCAAAATTTTTTACTATTATATATTATATAATATATAATATTATGGGTAATAGGTAAAAAGCATATGGCTTTTATCGGTCATTAACGATTAACTGATGAATGCAGTGCCGTATATACTTTATTAAAAGTTACCAATTATAAACCAAATATCAATGAATTGGCATCAAGTGTTCAACAACAAAAAACACATCAAAATAAATAATTAACAAAGCAATATTATTACAATTATTATGTACCTAAACTAACCTTTTTATACTAATACATTAATTATACAATCAAATTACAGTATAACAAAATATAATATTTTTTATTTTTTTCAAGGCAGGCTTTAAAAAAAAAAAGGTAATTTTGGGCGGGCACGCAGTGTTCAAAAGGTTTGTCATCTCTGTTATATAGACCCTTGACACGGCTCGATGCATCACGCCGTGGCTGGCGGGTTCGCCTCAAGGGACGATGTTTTTGGTACGAGTAACCAATATATAAAAAGTCGCAAGTAGCTCGTCACATGTGTTATTGAAAATAGTAAAACAGAAGAAATTTTTTTTTTTTTATTGAACTTAAGCTTCGGCAACTGAGGCCATTAGCTGTAGTAGGATTTGTATTGTAGTTTGTATTGTATATTTTTTGGGAACGGTAGGGGGGAACACGTGTGTGTTTGTTTTTGGCAGAATTTCGAATGGGGCACCCGTAGGTTTCTGCCATGCCCCGGGGGTGGGGGATGGCAGCACTTGTTCTCCGGTCACCGCGACTTGTCCGGAGAAAAATGCCGCCCGGTAGCCGAACAGAAGAAATTATAACTAAAACCGGCGTGGTTATCTCCGTATGATGATATGTGGAAGGTGATTCTTTTTCAGGTAAAAACTGAATATTTTTTTTCTAATTTTTGTATTAGTTTAATTGTATATAAGTAATTTTAACTCAAAATAAAACAACATTTTTGAATGTCAAAATACATTTGTAATTTCATATAAATACTCTCCTATAACCGAAATTGTTCGGGGTATCCCTGTGAAATCAAACTCCACTCATTTATTTTTTAAATACTTATTACTAATTAGCTGCCTACTCGTTCGGAGTTATACTTATATGTATCGAAATACCTACACAGGTAATTATTTTGCTTAGGTATAAAGGTATGTGCTGTCGTTTAATTTCATCAAAAGTAAAACACTTAAAAAATAATTACTTTAAAAATTAGTAGAGAATGTAATTTTTTCAAGTATGTTGTGTTGTAAAGAATTAAAGAAATGTAGGAAAAAATATTTTCAAAATCGGTTATAATATTCTGTAGATAAAATAAAAGCGGTAATTTTCGATCGTTTATACCTTTAAAGCAATTACCTTGCACTGTACAGTGTACATCCGACTACATCGTGGTCGACAGCAGATGATGGTGATAGTCAACATACTAAAAATACCTACAATATTGTGATAGGTGGTGACTATTTATTTGCTATCAGTAATAATTACGGTTAAATGACTGCGAGGCGCCGGCGCCGATGGCGTCTCGCTGCAGCTACCTGAACGCTTTAAACACAATTACATATGTTTATTTTTTTAAACGTTTTTTTACATGTTTGGTAGAGGTACCCATATATATACACATACATATTTAAATGTTTCGTGCATCGGAATACCAATACGAAATATATTTTGTTTGAAGGATAAAAGTTTTTGAACAAATTGTGGGGTATTTTAAATCGTTAACGGGGATAGGTTAGGTTAGGTATAACTGAAAAACTATCTAAAACAGCTGTCTTTTAATTTGTGTCTGGCGCACATAATAGTGGTAGTCAAGCGTTACATTCCGCGAGGACACAAACTTCTGGAAATTGAGTGAGTGATGTAGACATATTATTGTAGTATATATAATACAAAATACAAAATTACAAATATCTGACAGTATACTCATCGGTGTATGATGGATATTTGTCTGTCGAAGAATAAGATCATTTGTAGATCTACGACTGTGTATAATATAATATGACTTAGGTGTGCATAAATAGGTGCATATTAACTATATGTCCAAGTATTCTTATTCCGTTTTTCTTCAATAATGCAGTTATTCAGTACCTGATTTTTGGAATTTTTAAGTATACTTAAAAACTATATTTTTATTTTTTTTGAGATTTATATAGGTACTACTTAGAAAGTGTCTTGAGGAAATACAAACTTCTATTTTTCAAACGAGAACCCCCTTTTCTATTATAAATTAATTAGCGAATATTTTTTGTTGAAAATGTTGACATTTTAAATAAACAAAATAGTATAAAAGTAATATAAAATATATCAAGAGTTTGGAAATTCCAAAAATTAAACAATGGGGGGGGGGGTAAGCATGCTCGGTAAATTACCCTGTATTTTTTATACATTATTTATTATTTTATTGTCTAAAATTATGTTTATTTCCATAACAACGTAAGAAAATAAACTTAGTAATAATAAGTGTTTTATTAATTTTTATAACAAAAATGGTCGATACATTAAATTTAAAAACAATGATTTTTTTAAATAAAAATATTATATTATATGTCATAGTACTTCAACTAAAATAATATAATAATTAATAATATAATGTCTTTAATTTCTTACATTTATTTAAGCTAATATACATTCGTATAAGTATTTCCTATTAAAATATATTATAATAATAATCATTAATCAAAATTATTGCTAAAATTAACAGTTCATATTTTGTATATAGTGTTGTTACACTATTAGCACTTGAATATAAATATATATATATATTAACTATAAATAATACATAATATTATATACTATATAGTAATACAACATACAATTTTTTTTTAAATTTTAAAATCTTGTAAATAATACATATTTAATATCACAGAAATTTCAGAAATATAAAAAAGAACACCTAAAAAGGGTGATGAAATGGAATTTGTTGAGATATTATTTACCATCACATTATATGTAATGTGTATACACTATACATTAAAAATAATCCAGTATTGTATAATGTGTACACATACATACACAGTTAGTGGAGTTAGTTATATATGAATGATGTGAACTTAAAGATTATAGAAACTAGTTTCCTTCAGTATTAAGGTTTATAAAATACTATTGCTTAGCGTTAAATAATTATAAAAATAAATTAATACGTTATGAGACACATGGAATCATTATTAAAAATATAACTAATATACAAATGTCATAAGGCACGACTGCAACCGGTGTTCTCTCCCGGTGTACTTCCGTTGGATTCACGAACCGTTCAGAATCTTTTTAGACCTCTCCAACGAATTCAGCTTGTTTTACTGTGTCTGGTAATTTTTGATCTTTTGTTTCCGGGAACAAGAAAGCTAGCGCCCCGGCCATAAACGAAATGATTCCGAACAACAAGATTGGCACGTATTGTCCAAAATAGACACTCTGTGAAACAATAGGTATTTAAAAATTTTTACTTTTCTGACGTTACATATAATAATAATAATGCTAATAATAATATGGGGCACATGATATGCGTTTTTTCTTTCATCGAACTTGTCTATCAAAAAAAAAAAAAAAATGTCAAATACACACCAACAGCGACATCTGTGGAGCGATCATGGAGCCCATTCGACCAAACATGGAAGCTATGCCGAACAGGGACATACGCAATTCGGTGGGGAACATCTCTGCAGTGAATACGTACATGGTATTAAATGCCATGGTGATGGCGTACTTGCTGCTCAAGAACAACAACAGTTTCACCCATAAATAATCTATAAATCAATGATATATGGATTTTATTGTAAGTCCGCGTCATATAAACACAACACGATTACACTAATCAGTGTATTTTTATATATATTACGTATGTGTGTTGGAACTACAAGCCATAGAAAAGAGATAAGAAAAAATACAAGCTTATTGGGAAATTATTAATTAATGCTGTACATGATTTTTAGTTCGTCATTCTTTAATTCTCAGTTTATTGTTTTATAAAATCAGAAAAGAACACGTAGGTGAGTACTTTTTCACGGTATGTGGGCTCATTAAACTTTTCTAATTAATTATTTCATTAAAAGTTAAATGACTTAATTTATCTCACCAACTAAGATATTCGTTAATAGTTTTAAAAATTAAAGATACGGTTATAAAAAACAATTCTATTTTTATAAGACTTAGGCATGTACTTCATTGTTTTTTAAATGAACGAAATTATAAGATTGAAAATTTTCTAGAAATTTAAATTTTCTTAGAAAAGTTATTAAGCATTAATTGAATAATAAATATAAGTTATTAGCTTTTCTAACAAAACAACATTTATTTATTTATGAAACGGGACTAGCCCAATACAAATTTAGATATTAATCTTAAAGCAGGTACGTAATAGTATAAATTGTTATGATAAGGGTTAGTTATAATTTATAATATTAACTTGAATTTATATACATTTGGATAGGATAATAATTTTTACTTGGTACTTTAGTCTTCCAGACGCATCACATTTGTATATTATATTATAGATAACACACGTAGGTATTGATAAAGCGAAGTAAAAAAAAAATTTTTAAACTAAGCGTTTGCTTACTCTGAGGTATTACGTTCACCATAATACATCCAATGCCACTGAAGAGGAATGAAAACGCTTGGGTATTTCGCCTGGAAAAGTGTTCCATGAAGTACCATGATGTCAAAAAAGCTGGCACTTCTACCGCGTTTACAAGCATAAAGTTCAAGTATTTGTTACCGGAGAACTCCACAGAAGTTAACGATAGGCCGTAATAAACTAACGTAATCGTTGTCCTAAAGTCATAAAAATATATCAAGGTATTTAATCACATAACAAGCAGGTAGAAAACATTAAACAATTTATAATAGATACAATGTATAATATTATTAAATATTTAGATATTATACTAACCAGCAAAACGAACAGTTGATCAGCCGCAGGAAAATCTCCTTTGAACTAAATATTTTACTCATTAATTTACTACAAGACAATTGATTATCATCGTCGACCTGAAATGAATCGGTAAATATGTCATCATGTTAATTCATTTATAAAATAATACAGTCTAACGTTATAATATTTTAAGGGAATTATAATATTTATGAATCATCGTGCGAGGATGTAAAATTGTAAATCATTTTCATTACCCCGTTCGTTGCGTTGGCGTTGGCTTTGGTGTTAGCAATCAGTGCTTCTTTGACGCTTGACGGCAGTGTTTTGCCATTGGATTTAGCAACTTTGGACAAAACCTTGGCCATTTCTTCGATTCGGTTTTGCGTTTGAAGCCATCGCATGGACTCTGGCACGTACCTATATATTACAACGGCATACAACGCAAAACGTTACATATATTATATTAGGTAACTGATTAACTGAAACATATATAATTGTCTATGTGTATGTGATAAATTATCGTCAAGCTTACCAAGCATATCCTAATATAAGCAGTCCGGGCAAGTAGACTATCCTAAGCATTATCCGCCAATCGAGAACCATGTAAGCCACGAAGCCCATGATAACCGCACCCATGGGATAGAAACAGCCCATCAGAGTACTGACCGTGACCCGTGCTTTCGGACTGACTAATTCTAGACCTGAAATAAATATTTTTATATTGTTGAAAATACATGTTTATTTTAAAACATATTTTGTGATTTAAATGGTTAGATTTCTCACCTAATACAAAGGTGGCTGCATACACCCCACTGGAGGCCATGGAATCCAAAAATTCGAAAAGGAGGAATGAATAGTAATCGGTAGTGAAGGACCGAGCCGTGCCCAGCACGGCCGACGTAACTGATCCTATAATTAAGATAAACTTGCGTCCATACCTTTATGTTTATAAAAAAAAAAGTTACGTCATTTAATATTATAGAACAAACTCAATAGAAATAATAGAAAAAAATGTATAAAATACATACTTATTATTATGCCAAATATAACAACGTTTTTGTTAATTGTTTTTATAGGCGGATAATTGAAAAGGTATCCATCATAATTATGGGTTTTATTTTATAGGTATAGTTTTTTTTTTTTAGTATGTGGTTTCGATTTGCTTGAGATTATATAAATAAATTACGATTTCCGTGATTTGTTTGATAATAAGTTAAGCTTAAGTTGTATTTATGTATTAATCATCCATTTATGCTTTATGGGATCAAGGCTATGGACTTGATCCAAACAAATAATATTATTCACATATAATACCTGGAGATAAATGATAATTGTAGCATATTCCTCTATAGAAATGTCCAATAAAATCAAAACAAAATTACGGTGAACCGTTTGCTGATGAGTGACGTGGTGGAGGCACATAGAAAATAGTAAATAAATCAGTCGAGTGAAATATAATTTCAGCAGTTTTTAAATTTAGAAGTACTATATACGAACATGAATGGTGTCTGAAAATTAGGCCATATTAAATCTATTACATTACAGTAATGATTGTATTATACGGATATTGCGTAAACAACGACTTTAAATACGTCATCATACGTGGTATGTAGTACCTACCTATATATAATAACTAAATAAGTTTATTTTATAGATAATAACATATTGCTCACTTGTCAGAAATAAATCCTGCTAAAGGAATGCCCACGAACTGACCAAGGCTGTTGATTGTTCCCACCATGCTAAGTTTCCATTTGTTTTCCTCGCACATAAGACCAAACTGTGTGCACAAAACGGGTATTATCAGAGGGGTAACGAAAAACTATATAATCAACACCGCCCACTCACATCGTTCACTATCGTTCTTTCCGTTTCGCCGAACACCCATTTGTTGCACTTCTCTCTTGAATTGACGTCGAATGCGTCGAAGTTACACGTCTTATTTGCAGAGACGTCCGTCCCGTTGGTTTGTTTGTAGTGGTACTTGAGGCATTTGTATGGCTCTATGCTCTTTTCTTTGAAAGGTATCACCCGGTTTAACCAGTCCGGTTCGTAAATTGGGTTGTCGATGTCGCACTGCGGAACTTCGCATCTATAGAACAATTATAGTTCAAAATAATAATACGTTAAACACATAATGGTAAGTCAAAATAAACCGTGTACAAACAATATTCTTAAAACAGAGCTGTAACAGGTGTTGTATGAGACCAGACATTATATAGATGGTATTACATCACACTATATCGTGGTTTAGATTTTCGCTGCAGTACTATTTTCAATTTTAAACTAACGATATTAATTCATCGTATTCTATAAAAGGTTGTCCAGAGAGTGGAAATAGATTAAAACCACGCTCTTGTTCGAAAACTCTAAGAGTATTACACTATTACTACATTCTCTGTAATTTTACTAGCTATCGTAAAAATTACTTACCTACCTCTTATTAGAAAATATTGACAAAGCTTTAACTCGTATTTCTTATTAGTTCGGTAGATTTGTTTGGAACATTTGGAATATTGCTCCTCCTGTACGAAAAGCGTTAACAGAAAACCTCATATACCTGATCTACCATCTACCTTACTTAATCTACCTTATCTACCCTACCTGCCTATAGTTTGTTCGTTGTAGGTGGATTACAAGTAGTTAAGTTTTAACCCAAAAAATAAAATAATCATATCTATCATAATTCAACTGTACATTTTACTCAACATTAGTATATCGAACTGTTCATAAATTTACAGTTTAACAGTTCATAATTCATAATTATTCACTAATGTACTAAAAATGCCTATTCAATGCGCCCGACCAAAAACTATCACATTTTTTTTTATTTTTAACATAATAATATGTGATTTTTCATAACGATGTCAATCACCTTTTTAAATATTTAAGAATAATATATTTAATTTTGCATGTTACAAAATCTATTTTTTCAAATATTTCAAATGCATTATAAATTATAATAACGATACAATTGATTATATTTAATAATGCGTACTTTATAATGATGTGTTGTTAAAAAAAATTCAGCAAAGATTGACAAATTAATCATTTCTAGTTCTAACCTTGCACATTAATTTAAGTAATGCAGTTACATTATATAATGATTGTAGCTATTTGTAAATTAATTTCTACTGCTGTATATTAAATATTATTTTTGTATTGATAGTTTAGAAAATTATTAAGTAATAACGAAGTACCTATTAATATAATATAGGTACACACTATTTATGTAAATGTACTACCATTTTGACTTAATCATTTATAACATAAGTACGTTATTTGCTTTTTTATTGATGTTGGGAGAAATATTTTAATAAATAAAATTATAATGTTATTGCGAAATCAATTTATTTAACACATTTTTTTTCACAAGAAACATTCAGGAAATAGTATGGTTAAACAGCAGCAGTATTCCTAAATTTTCCATTAATAAATGACACTGCATATTGTGAATAGTAGAATTGGAATAGATGAGAGTAAATTTAAAAAATAATGTATCATTACATTATTATTTATTAGACACAATGATACCATATAATAGGTTGAAGACAATTTTCTTGTAGGCAGAAGGTACTATAAGTGCATTTTACCGTACAATTAATGTTATTTCAATTTAATTTATCATTTTTTAATGTTGTTTTGTTCGCATTCAATGGATTTAAAACACAATAAGTTTCAATAATAAATATTAATGCAATATGTTTAAATTAAAAAGCAGAAATAGTTAAATAATTACACAAACAAAAATATAGTATATAATTAAGTAATTTTATTTAAAAAACTCGGGGAGTAAAAAATAGTCAGGGGATTTATACATTATTTACTTATGACTGAGCTATCCAGAGTTCGTTAACTTTGTATTTAAAATATAATTGTATATTATTTGTACTGAAGTCTCATTATTTATTCTTTAATATTATATTGTTTGGACTTTAGTATGAGAAAAAAAAATAAATTGAGTTTTTTTTAATTATAAAAACTGGAAGTTTATTTGCTGATGTATTTTATCCTGAAATTTTTTTATATATATTTAAATTCAATTTATTTTCTTCGCGATGTAACGATGAAATTCGATTATAAAGAGTGTACAGCCAACAACTCGTCGGGAAAAATTTAGATTGTATACATATTTACAAGGGTTTTATATCTGGAAGAAATATGTTGGTTTTACAATGATGGTTTTTTTATGTTATCATTTTTCCTCGTAAAAGGAATGGTTTAAAAGTTTGCTCTTCAATACATATTGGAAATTGAACTCTGATGTTATTTTAGAAACGTCACTTTTAGGATTCCTCAGAACTTGTTCAGAAAATAGTTGAATGGCTCATGGCTGTAATATACAACAAAAGAGATATGAAATATGTAATATGCATAAAAACTCACACTCTAGCACATACAAAATCTTAAACAGGTTTAGATAAAGTAAGATATGAAAAAAACTAATATAATTTTGTCTTTCCTCTTATCTCTTATTTTATACATAAATTATAGTTCTGGTCAGGTTTTAGGTTGTATTATATTCAACTGTCAAATATAAATTGGTATAGTGGTACTCTTTAATTTCAATATTAGTATATACTATACCTATACCTATTATGCTAAATAAACTTTCAACGGCTCAAACGATTAAAGGCTCACTAACATCTAAACATAATAAATTGAAGTTAAGCTATTTCGTATCGAGTGCTCATAACTAAAGTGGAAATAAATCACCAAATAACTAAAATTTAAATTGTATGGATTAGTTATCATTAGTTATTAGTTATTACTTGTTTACTTATTAGTTATTAATTATTATAGTTCGGTTTTCTATATTATTAAGCAGAGCTGCATTGGCAATTTATCATTTATGTTTAATGTCTATGTTACGCTGTGATTTGTTCGATTAAGTTTATCCGTATAATAATCAATTGAGTCTAAACTCTTAAATTATCAATATGAACAATGTATTCGAAAATTGTAATTTAATTTTAAAGTTTCTAATCGGTCATATTTATATAAGAATGTTCTATTGTCATAACACTAAAATATAATAAATGTACTATAAATAAGCCTAAAACAAATTTAGGATTGATCAATTATTTATATACAACTATTATAACAATATTATGTGTCACTTCGATAAAATAAATTAAACCTTTTGGAGTTACAAAAAATACTGTCGATTTATCAAGTAAAGTGCTCGGTTAAATGACGTTTTACATAATGTGTATAACATGATATGGGTACCTACCTATTACAAAATCAAGGATACAGTAATATTTTTATTCATTTATACAACATATTTATAACAAAATCCAAACTTAGAATAAGTAGGTAGACAATGTAATATGCAATCGGTTAAATTATTTTTAAGCCCAATTACCCGTGTTACCGCGAGTTATTTATCAATAAAAAAAATATATGTACATAATATAATATAAATAGTATCTAATATGTACCTACTATTTATGCATATATAAGTGATTATTTAAGAGCACAGTAGGTACATGTTCCGGTTTAAATGTGGTCCGTAATTATTATGTCCAATTCGCAGTCAAAACAAATAATATAAATACATATGTGAAGAGAAAAAATGTCCTACAAGTTTACCTGTATTTAAGGTCACTGGCTGTAACGGCGTAACTAAGCGGTGATATGTTTGAGTACATGAGCACGAGCCCCATTAGAGCACAGACGGTCACTTGATATGAGCCCAATCCAAAGTTGCTTAAGATCTCGTCTAAATCCATTATTTCTCCGGAGTTCACTTCTTGGTACTATACGTAAAAAAAAAATAAAAACAACGTCACGGTCATTAAAATCATCCAACGACAATATAATGCGCGGTTATATGGTATTATACGTGATTAGTGCGAGTTCAATACCCTCGAATAATGACCCACAAAAATAGTAAAGCGCTTAAATAATGGTATACATAGGAAGGTGTATGATAGCCCAACATTATATAGATATCGTAATTATTTTTTGTTGGTTTATATATTTCAGTAAAAAAAATAATAATAATAATAATTGTAATTCGTCCAAAGCTAGAGGAAAATAATTTTAGGTTCCGTATAGGAACATATAGGGATAGATAAATGTATAATATACGTATGTGATACGATTGATGATATTGATTGTTAAAATATATTTGTTCGAAATAAATACAAACAAAAATGATTTGAGACAGATGATTTTCTAGGATACGGTTGAAACTAAAAATTCAAACAGTGTAGCAGTTTGCGTACTTAAAGCATATTATTTCACATGGTATTATAGAATAACGACTCGATATGACTCACAATTCACAAATAAAAGAACATAATATTAAGATGTGTAAATGTATCCAATTTTTGATAATTATTCTACATTGTCTCAAGCCAAGCATTTTGCAATTTTATAATGGGTAAGTTTTAAAATGTATGATTTAGAATGATTTTTCAATGGCTAGTATCTTATCTTGGCATTTGGTATATACAACTTTTTTCCTCTAACTCTTAAGAGTACCAACAAATATTTGAGTAAAAGTATAATACAAGAAATTATAATCCTAATACCTTGTAAGTGATTTACCTATAAAAAAAGTATCTAATTCTGCATATAAGAATACATGACGAATAATAATCATTGTAAATAAAAGCTTATTTATCCTTTTAACCATCCGAAATGCTAAAGAAAAAGTTCTATTTTTTTAGTAATAATTTATTATATTAAATTATAATTTTCATTATGTATAATGTATATACCTGCTGTGTGATATTACTATATTATAGGTATACGTATTATCAGAACCGTTACACTAATCCATACTGTTCTGCTGTTGTATAATAGGTGCAATAATAATAATAATAATAATAATAATATATGATCTATAAATAATGTTTGTACACAATAGAATGGATAATGAGAAAATATAAACAATCGGCGAGTGATGTACCGTGGAGATTTTAGAGAAATGATTTATTTTATTTTATACTGTTAAAATGAAACAGTTGACGATATGAGATTGAAATATTATAATACCGACTCGCCATTGGTGGTAAGTGCCTTTAATATAGTATTATATTAAACTACCTAGTCAAGTAGTGTATCATAGTTGTATAATGTTGAACATTACCATACAGTGATAGTGTAAGGTTATACATTCAACATAAAACATTTTAAAACTAGCTGTATTGAAACGAGCGAACATAATTTAAATCTTTGACTCGTAACCCGTAGGTACCTACGTATGTTGTTGAACAAAAATGAACGTATAATAGAGATGTGTTGAAAGTGTAAACAAATTAAATTACAAATACATAATATACTTATATACGTTGTAACTTTGAGATGTAATGATAGATTATAATATTATAATAACAATAATACTAATGAGTAAAACTAAGGATGAATGTATTAAATAAAACTTGAAATGCGCTAAAATAAAATAAAAATATACTTTACCTAATACCTATATATAGGTATTATGATATAATTTATATTCTAAAAATTAGAAAAATAATAATATTATTAGGTAGGTTACAGTTTGGTTCATATGAATACTATAGGTATTGTGTATTCACCATGTCACACTTCTAGAGTATGTAGCAATAATAGATGGCATTATGAAATGAATAACCTATACTATGTTTGCAAATAACTTAACAGATAGTAAAAAAATTTGAATAAAAAAACTTTAAGAGATAGGTAAATTTTTTTAACAAACTAATAATAATCATTAATCATATACATATTTGCATATTAAGTAGGTACATTGTATCTAATATCACGAATATTATGATAGTACCAATATGGCTGTATCAATTATTATATAATAAATGGGTTGTTGATGAACAGTTATAATAATTGGAGGTAATACTGTAAATAGAAGTTATAATTTTTTTTTGAATTTATTGGAAATATTATAATTTAAAATGTGTTCTTAAAATATTTAATTTTCATTAACTAAAAATATATTAAAGACATATTTTATTTTTTATTTTATCCAATATGCATTCTTATAAAAATGTATTATAAAAACAAATAAATCAAATATTTTTATATTATTACCATTTTTTTTAGTTATTAGATAGGTGGTTATTAAACTTTTTAAAATGGTGATGCGTATTCTTGATTTAATATTCCAAAGAAGAATATTTTTATCCGTGAAAAATAAAAAATTTTAATAGCATATACTATGTATTATAAATTATTATATATAGATGTTAATATATATATATTACAATAAAAAATTAATGAATATAACATTATTTTCCTGCCATTCCAATTACCTTATCAAAACTTTACACGCTCATGATAAAATCAATCACTTAAGATTGTAGGATTTAATGAACGTGACTCGTTAAATAGATCACGAGAGTTAAATAAAATGTTTAATATGTATATTTTTAAATTTTACATTAACATAGGTAATATATATATTTAGTTTATTTAGTACGTAACTAAATTATCACCATATTATAGCACATATTTCGCACATATTGGACGGAGTTATAAGAAATCTATCATTGACTCTGACTTTAGTGCGTTGGCAGATTTTACTACTTGACCTACCTATATAGTAACCTAATTTACGCATTCCTCTGACGGAATTCGCATTTGAAATCCGATGGATAAAACGAAAGACAATTAAAAATAAGCATGATCATTTTACAAGTACATCGATGAGAGGTATTTTTCTAAGTAAAACTTTGAAATATTGTATTAGGTTTATTAAATTGAATTCCTAAATGTTTTCCATATTTTAGCGTAATACATATATTTCGACTTAATTGCTAAAGCAAAAACTACTTTTATTAGATATTTTATACAATTAGTGATTATTCCAACGTAATCTTATTTCTATATAATTTTTATAACTGCGTAAATCGTCTTATTAAAATTGTTAACGAATCATATTTTGACAATTAGACTTGAAAATATTTAATTGAAAATAGGTTACTGGTTATAAGTAAATCGCTAAAAAAAGTTTACCAGTAAAATTACAGCCAGAAAGAAAAATAGTAGTCAGTTATTTATGATATGACAGTTCAGGTTAAAAATCTAAATCCAATACGTTATAACTTACAGAGATAACATTTATTAAGATTTAATTTTGTTGGGTGGGGGTGGGATGAAAGATAATTATTTTATTAATAATAGGACATAAGTCACATAATGTGTAGTGCTGTTTAAATTATCCAGTGGTTACAGCCTTACAGGTTACCTATCCGAGAACAGAGAACCTATGGAAAGCCACTTTTCCAGTGACGGAAAGCGACTAGTGCACACCAACTTCATTGTTCCAATCACACGTAAATCACATAAAACAAAAAACTATGGTTGACGAAAAAATTGTATTTTTTGAAAATTAATTGTCTGAAATATACATTATTGTAAACCTAATTGTTACCTAACTGAAATACGATTATTAGCAAAAATAAAATAAAGACAGTTGTTACTCATTATAGGTACTCCGAATTCGAACAAAGTTTTAAAGTTATACAGGTAGTCAGTCTGTATACCGCCAAACAAGCAAAACAAACTTGAAGTAATTTAAAATTGCGTGGATTTAGAATTTCATTTTTTGAAAAGAAGCGAGTAGAATAATATAAAGCAATGATGTTAAACAGGTAGGTTGTACCTACTAAGATATGATTATTTATATAGCTATATGAGTAACACATTTTCAGCATACGTTTTAGTTAATTATACTGTGGAAAAAACGCTTATGTTGTTGTTTGGCAAACATATTATATCTAATATGTGTTATGTCTTCTGGTTTTACATACTATTATGAAGATAGCTTTAATGTGTACTCTAATGTAGAATCTAATAGGCCTTAAGCCACTGGATCTTAAACAGTAATATAATTATATAAACACGATAAACAATATTATAATACTATTACGATATAGATAATCTTCTCACGTGGTAACTATCCATCACACTGACATAATAGTATGTACCAATAGTCATTCGGTATCACCTATGCGAAATTGTGTCAAGACAAATAGTCTGACTGAAACTTCTATATCTTGCCAAAAAAAAAATAAACTAATTAAAACCATTAATTATGGTACCTATTTATATTTTATATACCTATTTATGTATAGTATAAAAATAATAATAATTCATAACTCATTTCCAATTATAGTATCTTGTTCGATGTACTATCATCATATATCACCAAATATTACCAGTATAATATTATAATATATTCGTTGATGATTTACGAAGAAATTTTTTCGTCACATCCGTCGCTAGAAAATCTCAAAATATAACGTTGAAATATGAGTTTTTGGGTATAGTCTTGCAATATGTTTGCGAATTCGATGAGATCGAAAACATTCGAAAAGTGCCTTCAAAATTCCCACATCCTAGGAATGTGAAAAAAAATAAGCTCTCCGAATTTGAATTCCTCTCGCACTAACAAGAGGTGATTCTCAAAGTTAATACGGAACTTATACAGTATACACCCTGTGCTCAGTAGGTAACACGTAAACGTTATTTCGTTCGTCCATCGCGCTCGATTGCAAAACTACAATGTTGACCTTGATTTTATAACATCGTTAATTCATCGTATTAAATATGTACAATGAGCACGTTTTTTCACCGGTTTGGTCTTAGAAATCGGTGTAGGAGGAAGTATCTTGAAAAAATAATAACATAAAAACCGTGGTCGCTGGCAATCATATTGCACAGTGTACACGAGTGGCATCGATGTGTATATATAGCGTAACATCATATACTGCATTGTGCGTTGTAATATAAAACCTAAGCGCATTTTTTACAA